CGTATGTGCACTGTAGAATGTAAGTATCTCTGATATATGCATTCTACACAAACACGTAGTGCACACGTGCGGTCATACCACATCCCGTACTAGCGTATTCATCATATTTCTAAACGCTTTTAGGATGTTCGTTAGTTTCCGAAGGTGATAGGAAAGTGTAGACTATAACATGTCAGTTTGCACTGTAGATAACGAAATCCTTTATTTCACCTTAAAACTGCAGGATGAACTGAAACGACTCCGTCTACTTAGCTTTTTCAATGCTTCAGTCACACTTTCTTTACATGGCTCTTCTTACTTACTGAAATACTATAAGGCTTCTCCTATGTAGTTGGGCAAGATTACTACTACCAAGCCCGTTAAAATCAAGACAAAAAAGCCTCAAATATAAGGCTTAATTCTGAAATCAATGTAGTCCTGTGAACACACAGGTACGTTCTCACGTTTTATCACTAAGTTGCCACCATTTCGAATGCCATCTCAACCGAAGCGACCTCAGACCTATTAGTGGATAGGTTTAAGTGGAGATTCGACAAAGAGATACTCACCCATGGATTAAGCTGTCTCGTAACTTACTTGCTCTATTCATTACTGTATATAGTTCATTTATTATAATCTGGTTGATTATCATTTATGTTACCCCCTTTATTATTACACTTAGGCACACCCGCTTTCTGTGCCGGTATTTTTAATTAAAGCAGCTTTTACCTGTATCATGAGGTGAAGAGATTGAATTCGCATGATCTTGCTCTCCTTAAACAGTGTTTGTTTTCGTGAAGGATAATGTGTGACTCTAAATATTCCCTCATTTGATAATGAACGAACACGGAAAAATGCATCCGGTCTAAAGAACAAATGGCTTTGTCTTTTTTCTTTTGAAAGTTGAAGTGAGGGTTGCTTGTCTACCCAACATTACAAGTCGTCTGAACTGAATCGACTGCATAAACCGATCGAATACAAATCAATTGACGAATTTCGAGTATCGCTGCAGAAATATGGGCTGAATGTTATCACATCTTCATGATATTATTGATGGTAGAAAAAACTGTGGCGCCCCGTGTCGAAAGCCGACCTTCTTCGGAACTCAAAAGGCCTATTCCCCTATCCAACAACAGGATCAGCAACTTTAACAGGTACAAATCATCATCTGGTGTTTGCCAAAACGAAACTAAAGATAAAGAAGCATTAAAAACTTAGCAAACAGCTGTATGAAATCCAAATACATCCTTCTTTCGACACACTGACAAATGCAGTGATTTCAAGACAAGTCCATAGAAATCAGTATTCTGATTTGCAGCTTTGTCAAGTGATACTCGGCTTTGTTGATCATATTCGTCATATATATGTATATTATTTTGATGTGGTGAAATACTTCATTTCATGTCTTTATTATTTGTCTTCTACATTGTTTTAGTTCGCTAGGTCATCTGGTGCCTCAAGGTTGTCTGTTCCATGTGTAATGTGTCTATCAACTTTAAGATATGGAACGAATACTATCTCTTACTGATGATGAGTTAAGAGCCGAGTTGTCAGCCAAGGGATATTACCCACCACCTATTCAAGGTTTGTTGCACTATTGCTACGTCTTAAGTTTACAAAGATGACGTCACTAGAAGAATATTGCGCAAAAAGCTGGCATTTTTAATTGATCGTATGTCCTATTTCTTAATATTCATGACGATGTACGTTTTCCAGCTTCTCTGGTGATTGAAGAGCCGTAAGTGTCTAACAGAAACTTTAACACCATATAAGAGTTCAAAATCCGGATTCTTCAGATAATAGCGATTCGTCTGATGCCGCTGGAGAGACAAGTGTCCGCTCGAGAAATCGCGTCAGATTTTCTGAACCTCAAGAAACTGTATACGAAGTTACTGAAAACCACAAACGTGGTTTCTTTTGGTACGCAATATTCTTGCTTACCGCGATCGTGGTTGGATATCTTGTGATGAAAGACATAGATATCATTTCGTTCATGAAAATGCTGGTTTATTCCTTTTCCCAGTGATCAATAATATGTTTCATTCTTATGATTGTTTGACATATATATGACATATGAATGGAACACTTATTTCAGCTAAAAATTGACTGAAAAGGGTAAATAATTATAGACATTCAGTATTTGTTCAAATCGATCGAGTCAGAGAAACAAATAAATTTCACGACATCGTAATGGCACGATGATTTTTCGCCATAGACTCGGACTGACTGCCTAAATTCCTATGATTTCTGACCATTGATGTGATATTCAGAGGATGTTTTTTTACAACACAGATAGTTACTTTCGCCGCACATCATCATGGAAGCACAGTTTACGAATGTTGAGCCATCAAACTTTTACACTGAAATCGTGAAGGGTACTGATTAATAACAAATTTTAATGTTTTTGGGAGGTGTCTGAAGAGTTAATTATATTCTAGAATCCCAAAGACCGCAGCAAAATGTTTATGATAAGTGCCTTCAAATAAAAGCCCTTATAACGTCAGTGAATCCCCAATATAAAATGTAATACTTGAGAACGTGGTTTATAGCCAAAATAGCAAGTGAAACTGTCATCCAGTTCACACAGTTCTTTATCGAATGCTGAGAAGAACTCACCAAATAAGAAATGATTAACTTCCAGTCCTAATTACTTGGAAGTACTCGGTCGTTGGTGTCGACCAAGATCTGGAGGCCTATAACAGAACCATGAAGTAGGTGGGTCCATGCGATAGCCATAACCAGTAGCTGCATACATTTGGTGATGGGTCACAATCGGATCTAGTTTCATAGATGTGTTGCAGACTCACCTCCCATTACAACTTGGTACCTTACGTTGCGTCAGACGTCCTGCTTACTAGTTTCGTTTGCTAAGAACCTATTGTATCACTGCTACGGCTCCCTTATTATGGAGAGTTTTATTCCTCACCGTGGCGTAGTGATCTAGCAATCTGGGCCTACACAAGTGTGATCTTACTACATCCGTTAGTGACTGGTAAGAAACGTAAGATATCCGGTAATGATGGCAAGTTGATGAGTTTATGAACTAACATCCGTCCAGGCAATCCGTCTGTGCTTCTCTGTTCACAGGCTAATATAGGTGGTTCTTAATAACGTAGGAGGAGATTGGAAGACTATAGGCCTCCAAATAAAAACGTACTAGCCTATGGAGTCAAGAACTGCCGGTTACGACCTTACTGGAAGCTGTGGATTCGCTGATCTGGGAGATAAACAGTCTATATTATTGAAGACAGTGGGAGGATTCGAAATCTATTTAAATGAGACGGATGTGATTGTCTTCTACCCACCATCACATCTTGACGATGAAAGTCTTCTTAGCGATTCATCCGGTGGTTTTATTCAGTGGGATGTCCCTTCACATTCTATGTCCCCATTGTTGTTATTATTTGTACCCTTGGGCTCTTCCTAATTTCCTTGCATTTTGCCATCCTAAAGTACGGGGACGTGGATCTATAAGTATTTGGTTAGTTAGAACAACTGGCTCGTCAATGTCTCAGGTATGATGGAGTGGTGGATTCAACTGCGCTTCACACGGTTGGATCTCACTGATAGTAATCAGGAACATCGGCCGACAACAGTTTGTCTTGTTTGAGTCTAGTATATCTATACAATAATTAGTTACTAACCTGGCGTAACGTTCTCGGTCGATTTAGCAAGTCATTCCGCCCGCTCTATTGGGCAACTAACACATGTCTAGATGCATCAATGACAAATCATTTAAATACAGACTAGGTTATTTATAGGGTTTACGTAAAGAGATTGTTCTCTATACAGTTTCTAGTGGTCCAATGCTTATAAGTGACAACGATGTTCTCAAGTAATGTATAGGATCCGTAGTATCTTCTCAATCTTTTTATTTTTCTTAACTGTGAAGCATTGCTAGCTACTACCTTTGGAGTTAGTGATTAGAAATTGGCTTTTCTTCTTCAGATCTTTGCTCTTAAAACCAAATAGTAGACTGTATCACTCCAGGAACTGGATAAACTTTGATTTCTGTCCTGTGACTGAATCAAAAACGCAGTATAATCATTATTGTGAACTCAGAATCTGGAAATTAGTGGCAAATAAAGTGTAAATGTGGATTAAAACTTAAAGAGATGTCGGGCAAATTGATTTAGTTGTGTGTAATATAAGTCTATTCATTCCATTCTAAACAGTTAGTTTTTCTGTGGGTCGGTTGAAATAAACAAATTGCACGTGTATATCTGTAGAATTTTAGTGCTTATCATACCTCCTGTTATACTAAACTGAGGGTAATGCAATGGATCGTACAAAACCGGGACTGAGGCATTGGGAAAAAACTTGACTTATTACTCGTGATGCCATATGTTTGCGACAATAGTAAGACCGCTGGGACAAAGAGGTGAAGGTGTCATATAGGCCCGTGTATATGTTCTTAGGATGTTTTTGTCTCACTGACTTTATAATGTCTCCGTGCTTTGCCTCTCATGCTCATCATTTCTTTCCTAAATATTTGTTGCAATTTAATCCTGCTGTGGGCGTAATTGGTTTGTCGTTTTTAATGCATCTTTGAGCTATTCTGTCGTGATTTAGTCCTTTCATGTTGACCATCTCTGGCCTCAGTGTTCGATGTTTAATATGGGTCTTCTCTGTTATCGTATGTTCGGCTTTAAGAATAGAATGGTTGAGAACCAATTCCATTTCAATGTTTCATGAAAAGATGCTTCTTTCAATTAACCCATTGTGAGTGGTGATTACGTAACAATTATCTTTAATGTAGTTGCAAATTAGATGTATATAATTTACAATAATATTTTTCAACTTCGCATCAGCCGGTTAAACGACACGACCGTTCTAGAGCATCATTAGCACGCCTCATGGCTACAAGAATTATTGAGGCGAACGAAGGACGATCACAAGGTATTACTGATACCCTATTGAGATCTAGCGGTGAAGCTCTTAGTAACCTAAAAGTGGCAAGAATATTCACTGATCATTTTGACATGGCTAAATCAAGAACTAACAGACTTGGGACTCTATTTCATACTAGATGCAAGTTGTAATCTGAAAAAAATCAACCCAACCTCTAGGTTAGTGCTAAGAAACCAAGATACCTACGATCAGGAAGACCATCAGTATATCTTCAGCGTGGCAAATGTTCCACGAGTAGTAGATAAGTAACTTCTATGTAGCTTATAATGGGTCATATCTACCAACGATAATGTATTATGGTTGAAAATAGGTGTATCACAGGCAAGTCAAATTGTACATTTTAGTGGAAACAAAGGAAGACATTGATTAGTTCAAATGATTGAAAGTATAAAAGTTAGAAGACGAGACATTTCGTCAAACTCAGCAAATGACAAGGAGGGCATTTACAAAGAAATGGCCGGTAAAAAGTAAAATCAAAAACGAGGAACTCCCCAATCCACAAGCTATTTCTTTTGTGTAATAAGAAGGAACCTTGGTAGCGAAAATCATTTCTGTGTACACAGAGTGTTCGATAACCTGCATAAATAAAATATGACGTTTATTCAAATAGATAGTATGTAATTAGCAATAATATTGTGAGGTAAATAACTTCTAATTCCATGAACTAGGATATCACAGGATATTTTCTATTAAAATATGATGAGTGAGTCTATTTCGTTGTTTACTTAGTATCGACAAAAGTTGATCAGGACACGTCAAATATTTTGAGTCACCAGTTTTCCATATTTCAGCTTACAAGAGTGATTAATGTGTAATTTAATTGGGAATGGCATTGCTTAAAATAGTTTGAAATGGGGCACATGCATCCATTCTTTATCTTCTCCCTAATTCTGAGATTCTATATGTCTCATGATTTTTTTTCGTTTTTGTTTCACTAATTTATATTCTCCCCCGGATCTTATCTACGATGCCCAATTCTTATTACGATTGATATTGCTACCATCTCTAATTTTTTGGGATTCTGTTTGACATATCTGCAAATGGGATATGGCAACTTGAACCGATGTACATACGTACCACGTGCTACGTTGTGGCTGACTGACTAAAACGCTAAGAACAAACAAATGATGATGTGATATCAACTCATGAAGATATTTACTTTCGTCACCTATCTAATTATGTAAGGGTTAAGTACCCTACAGACTGTTCAAAACTTTCAGAAGTAACAATGTATCGCAGTCATCAAGCACGATACAACTGATTTGCATTGTTTGTATTAGGGGCATAGTGGTGATACTTGATCATTCAAGCTGAAGCAGGCAGATTGAAGTTCGAAAATCCGACCTGTTAGTTGAGAGCCGATTGTTTAAATCGTCAAACCGCTACTGCAACTCTGTGAAGTCTCCATAGTTTGGTAAACATTCACGCCTTGAAATCAATGTGGACTTTTCTGTTTACAAACTATCAACTCAATAAATAATATTATTATGTACAAAAGGATCTTATGAAATCTGAAACCTTAATACAAACGAATAAGTTTGATTATCAGCCGATTTACGGTAAAGTACATATCATATAAACAAATGTGAATGTGAACCAATAAAAGACATATTGTATTATGTTAACAAATGTAATAGTTATCATAACTTCCGACTAATAAACATTAGCGGTTACACAAAGTTAATAATCCAGTGCACAATGAAATAGAATTAAGTTTTAAAGTAGGAAAGTTTAGGAAAAAACTAAACCAGTCAACGGTATCAATTTGACGGACTTAGTTGGTTGACTTAATTATTTCCATAGTACCATCAAGTGTACTCAAACCCTGAAACATGGACGTAGTCTCACTCATTATCACATGCAGAGGGGTAACGAAACTCAAAGAGTTCATTGGTAACATCTCTAACTTGAAAAATGAATGGCCCAAGTTTGAATTTAACGAGGAGCATTAGTTTCGACAAGATTATAAATATAACTCGCCCTTGACAAGTGACAACTAACGCGAAACCCAATTTAAGTAGGTAAGCCATCCAGTTCATCACCATCAGCCAACTAGCATCTTACTGTATACATCTCCCGTTTACTCATTTACCATGTACAAATACATTTAATTCGCTTCGAGTCACGCTGTAAGTACGAAGGCTGGTGATACCAACTGATTCTTGAAAGATAAGTATATGAGGCGCGTGGTTTAAATATATGACTTAGTGGTTGAAAGTCAAACACCTTAACCACTCCATTCAACTATAAGGAACACAGACTTAAAGTAAAGTTAATCATTCATTTTATAATAGATTGAATAAACTTACCAATCCATGGCTTCTTCCAATCCTTCACCTTTTAATGCAGATGTTTTAAATAATTGATAACGTCGATTTTTAATTGCAGCTAAGCCAAGTGATTGTGCTACTTCACTGATAGTCATACAACCAGATATATCTTGTTTATTTGCCAATATTACCAGTACAGCACCACGAAGCTCTTCCTCCTGCATGCCGAGACAAATTAAGTAACGTTACAAAAAGCTTGTAAGCATGAAAGTATATTTATTTGAAAAGATTTTTTTGAGAATCTGTAAATATCTTTCGTCAGAGGCTCAGGAAACTGGAAAATGTTCATCTAATATTGAATAGGGGTTTCACGAAAAACATCCACACGATTGTCACATTTTGGTTGAATAATTACTTACATCGTTGCTATATTTGGCATTTCCAGAAGTTTCTGGAAGGTTAAAGACAAGACGCTGTAAATACACTTGATTCTATGCACATAACTAACCTTGGGACAAAGCTCATACACTTCGTGCCTCTTTCCATTTTTCGAGTTGAGATGTACCCAGGGTTTATACGTAAGCAGCTAGGAAGTTAGTAGCAAGCGTCCAAGTGATAAATTTCTCAAAACTTCCAAAGATTTTATGGACACAATATGAGAGAAATTCAATTAGACTGGTTATAATTCATTATCGATGCTAGTAAAAATATAGCTAACTCATCTCAGAAATTTCTATAATTTCAACATAAAATTGTATTTACATTTATGGACTTCATTCTGGCTTCTCAACCCGAAAATTGTTTGTTGTTCCCAACTCACTCACTCTTGTACTCATTTTTGTCAAACCGAGTGAAACAATATGAGACAAAAGTAGGATTAACAAATTAATCGGCGAATAAAAGTCCTATCGTCCAGTCCTCCCTCCTTATGTGCTGATGCAATTCTATTAATCACTCTTTAAAAATGTCCATCAGATGACTTAGTGAAATTCTTTGATGTTAAACGACTGGAGGATATAAGTTTTGTGCTGGTTGGGATTAGGAGGTCGGGTAATTAGTAAAAGAATCCAATAGATACTAGAGACAATACCATGAAGTTGGTTTTTATTCTGATCATTTAGTAATGATAGTAATAAAACACCTCCAATGTATGCATTATAATTCTCATCAGGACTGCAGATAGATTACGCTGATGATTTTTGATCAGTACCAAATCAATGATCTATGGATTCCATCTGGGTTTTATTATTCACACAACATCAACCAAAGCGATATAATTACTGAACGTATGAAAGATAGTAAGTTTACGTAAACTTGTTTATATTATCAGATAATGAAGTATAATAAATTGTTTAATTTATTAAATCTCAACTTTCCAGCCAAAAGACAGTGTTTTTATATATACTTGTATGACCATTTTCTTAGTGCTGATAAATTAATCGACGTGAAATCCACTATTTTCATATGCTAACACAGTCAGTCAGCTACAACGTAAGACCAGGCACATATATGCATCGGTCCAAGTTGTCATACCTCATTAGGACAACAAGATGAACACTGAATTCATCGAGGTAGTTAATTCAATGGTGGTAATATATAACAGACTGCATATAAGGATATGGTACAGTAAGAAAGAATTAGTTCGTAGAAAGAAAGATATAAATCAATCTTAATCTCATAGTTTAAGGGAAGACAGAGAGTGTATACACCGACACCATTGTGATCGATTCTCAGCTATGTAACCAGTCTCCAGCCATTGGTTACGATGGTCACACGGACCCCAACTAAGTAATCTGCATCTACCAACATGGCTGAAACTAGAAGTCAGTTACTTTATGGACTGATGCCACGTTTTGGTTTAGCCGCCCCTAGCTTTCTTCCAACCATTTCCAACACTATTCAGCATTGCACGTCGTGGTAATCGGTGTTCAGGCATACGTAACACATGGCCCAGCCATCTCAATCGGTGAAGATTTGCAACCGCAACTTATTTACCGTCATTCTCTAATGCCCTGCATCTGACCTCACATATACTTACCCAGTGATCCCAGAAGACATTGGCAATATTTCTAAGACATTTGTGATGAAATACTAATAGCTTACGACTATCTTCTACTGTTAATGGCCAGGTTTCGCAGACGTAAAGTAGAACAGAAAGAACTGCTGCGCAGTATAGTCGTCCCTTTATTGGTAGACAAATATCTCGCCTTCACTATAGGTGACGTAAGTTGGCAAAAGCCAAACGAGCTTTTCGAATCCGTGCTGAGATTTCGTCAGATACCAACCCATTAAGGCTGATCAAACTTCCAAGATAAGTGAAGTTGTCGATGCGTTCGACTATTTATTTATTTTAACACATAGATATTGGTACAAGGAGGCACCAAATACATATGCACTACACAAATCTTACTCGATATGTGTGAGGGTTGTGATACTGCTCGAGTGCCCAAACCGAATATTTTATTTTTATTTTATTTGAACACATATATATTGGTACAGGAGTGCGCCAAATATATATGCGCCACACAATTTCAGTTCATTAATTGCGTGTGGGCTGCGATACTACCCGGGTGCCCAGACCGAAGCAGGCGGTTATCTTAGGGGGCCACACCCCGAGCTTTTGATCTAAAGGTCTAACCCACAAGGCAGTGGAGCATAGTGAGGAGATGCAGTCCCATGGTAGCCGGTGACCGAAAATTGGTTCATACGCCATTTGTTCCCGCAGGATACTGGTGCCCATGTGCACCATAGATTTGGAATCCGGTTAAAGCGCCGGACATTCGCTTTTCGTCCTCTCAGTTTCGTAAACAACGCCCCCGCCACGAAAAGGCAGTGAGTAGGACTTCCCTGGCAGAGGCTGTATACGCGCGGCCGTGTGAGAGTATTTCGAGAGGGAGGACGAACCCACCCCGCTCTCGGCCATACCAGGGGATTTGGGGGCGCTCGACTACTTTACTCCCTATTCTTAGTTCAGGTGTTGACGCAAGTCAGTCCTGAAGTAACAACTTGCATTTAGAGGGAGAGGAACACATCTCAAGCATCCTGGCATTGTTGCTCATTGCTACTAAAAGATTCTGCATTTTATCAGCATCTTCATCAAACTGGACTGTTATCACAACGTCAAGGTAACACGCTGATCATTAATTCAACAATATATATACCATGATATTTTGTCTAATGTAACGACACAATATTTATAGGATTAGAATTATAACAATTGACTGTGAAATAGGTTAACTGTCTGAATAAGAATATTCGTCAACATTTGAATAGTTCAATTTGAAATGGTTTGGATTACCCCGTTGTTGATATATGTTAAATGGAACTTGATCACATGATTGGCATATGGGAATCCAGTAGGGATTGCCTCAAGTCGCAGGCATTATAAGCAGAGATGGATAGTGCCTAGCAGTGGGATCTAGGACGCTCGTCTCGTCCTAATTAGGACTGGTCAGCATGACGTACCAATGTCCCAGAGTTGATGATCACTCCGGGACTTACCCCGGTACAATTTACCTCAAACCCCATAGCGTCATCCGCTTGGCTACTTAGTTCAGATAGTTACTGACTTGTACAACTGGATGGATGGTAGTGGGTTTGAATCCAGGAGTGAATATCAACTTTGGGATACTGGTATGTCATGGTGACCAATCCTAATTAGGACGAGACGTGCGTCCTGGATCCCACTGCTAGCCACTATCCATCTCTGCTTATAATGCCTGCGACGTGAGGCAATCCCTACTGGATTCCCATATGCCAATCAAGTGATCAAGTTCCATTTAACATATATCAACAACGGGGTAATCCAAACCATTTCAAATTGAATTATTCAAATGTTGACGAATATTCTTATATTCCATCCATATTATTCACATAATAACTATGTTTTTCAGACAGCTAACCGATAGTTACTGGCTTGTACAATTGGATGAACGGTGGTGGGTTCGAATCCAGGAGTGAATATCAACCTTGGGATACTGATACGTCCTGCTGACCAGTCCTAAATAGAACGAAACGCACATCCTGGAATCTACTGCTAGCCACCAAATGCCGTGGTACGGCCGAGAGTGGAGAGAGTCAACTATCCCTCTGGAAATGCTCTCACATGGCCACATGCACACAACCACTACCAGAGAAGTCCTACTCACTGTCTTCTCGCAGCTGGGGTGTTGTTTACGAAATTGAGGGGTCGTAAAGCGGATGTCCAGTGCTTTAGCCGGGTTGGTGGACATAGAGTCCACCTGGGGAGTTGGAAAACCCTCATCCCAAACCAATGGTACACATGGGCTCCAATATCCTGAAGGAACAAATGGCGTATGAACCAACTATTGGTCACCGGCTACCATGGGATTGCATCTCCTTACGATGCTCCACTGCATTGTGGGTCAGACCATTAGGTTGAAGGCTCCGAATGTGGCCCCCTAAGACGACCACGTGCTTCGGTTTGGGCATCCGGTCAGTATCCTAGCCCTTACACAAACCGAATGATTTATGTGGCGCATATCTATTTGGTGCCCCTTGTACCAATGTCTATGTATTTAAATAAATAAACTGCTAGCCACACTCCATCTATGCTATATCAGCACGGACAATACTTAAATGACCAAATCAAAGTGAGATTAGAATAAGTGATACAGTAACCAAGAGGACAGCAGAGGTTCTATTTTAATGAAGTGTAATGTTTTGAGCCATATCACTTTCCTAGTTCTGAATTGAGTTGGAACAATTTAGTATTAGTTATGCAACAAAATTGGTCGATTTGGTTCTGCGTAGTGTGATCCAGTGAAGTCCATGTGGCTTTGTGAATGCGCTTATGTGGGAATATGGTGCCGCCTATGACCAGTTTATTGAAGGCACATAGGCGATGTTTATTGAAATGCCTTCTTTCTTTGTTTTGAAGGAGGCTTTGATGATCCTTGGTCCATGAAATTCCCATCCTATAAGTGCGTTTTGTGCTCGTTTGGACAGCATCAATGCAACTCCTTGTGTATGTGGAGCATTTTCTTCTTCATGGCCGGAGTATAACAGAAGCTCTCCTGAAGTTAGTCGTTGTTGTCCAACTTGCGTCCAGTGTGTTTCACTGATTCCAAGCACCTCTAGGTTGTAACTCCTCATTTCTGCAGCGATTTGGAAGGCTCTCCCAGTGTCCCACATTGTACGAACATTCCATGTACCTAGAGTAGAATCTGATACATAAGTACATCGGTTTAAGTTAACATACTCCATTTGCACAAAGAGGTGAAGTTGTTAAACCAAATCCCAAAATAGTAGAAGTGGCAACAGCATCAGCGGTAATATGTATCAAGTATACGTTTCAATAATATATAAGTAGAAGAAAACGAGCAATTTAAAGGTTTTCAAACGATGTTGAGTCAGCTAAAATCAAATTTATCCAGTTTTTTTACTTTTAAACTACGTCAATTTTGGTAATAAAATTAAAAATGTATAACACTTTGATAGTTTGAATTGATAAGTATTCCGTCCACCCTGTACGACGAATGGCTATATCAATGTTGATTTGGAGTTCTTAGAGCTAGATAGTTCAATTGTTTATTATTAATATTATTATATTTATTTAAACGCATAAACATTGGTACAAGAAGGCACCAAACAGATATACGCCACATAAATCATTCGAATTTTGTGAGGGCTAGGATACTGCTCGGGTGCCCAAACCGAAGCAGGTGGTTTTCTTAGGGGGCCAAACCCAGAATCGTTGACCTAAAGGTCTAATGCACGAGGCAGTGGAGCAAAGTTAGGAGATGCAGTCCCATGGTAGACAATGACCAACGATTTGTTCGTCATCCATTTGTTCCTTCAGCACACTGGAGCCCACATTACATCACAATGTGTAGACTTTTTATAACCGTGCGAATTGAAACCCTCATCTATACAATCTGATCAACAGATTTCATTCAGTAAAATTTACTCTTAATTTACGCAATGTAAGTTATATCACCGCTAGAAATTAAAAAAAAATCAATATACCTAATTACAATCAAAACAAGTTGAAATAATTCTGAAATATTAACCAAGTTTTTTCTATTTAAATAGAAACACATAAAAACCTGTGTATATCAGGTTACTATTTGGGTATCAAGGCGATCGAAATGTAAAACATTTTTGTACAAAATACTATACAACCTGACTAAACAACAATTCAATTACGATGTGTGTGTGTGAAGTAGTTAGTTAACAGTAGCAATGGATAATTGTTTGGTGATATTGCATGTAAGACATTAAAGGACAGTTCAGTAGTTTAAAGATCCAACATTCATAGTGAGATCAGACGGTCCTAAGCTCGATTTCCTATAGGATCGTGAATGTGTATTGTTGAAGAAGAGTCTTATAGTAAGATGAAACCGCTATCCCCTGTTTAACGGTTTTGAATAGCTTTCTAATTAAGGTTAGTCCGTGATGTAAATGAAGAAATTCAATCAATTCGATAAACCAAGTACAGTAACAAGAAAAGGTGTCTGTGTCACATGAAAATATTCCACGCATTAGCAAAGGATCAGTAAGAACAATAAACTTTGTTTGCAACTCTTGCTGTTCATGAGATATTAATACATCGAACCCATTGTACGCAAAGCTTATCGAAGCAATACTTGTTGTAAGTATTTATCGTTCAGGGATAGAACTGTATTTAAGAACAACAATTGTATCAACCAATGAATAAGGACCAATAAATATAACATTGAACCAGAATAACGTCACTCAAAGAAATGCTTGTAGGTGGCTTCTCGGCTCACTAATTATATTTTGATATAAATTTAAGAGTATGCTTTCCTTGAATAATTCGTTAGGTTAAAGGAATTATATGCTCCCATCTAAATCCATGCAGCTGAACTCAAGAGACCAGACTTATTTTCCTTCAGGAGGGAGTGGTAATACAATCAGTTAATCAGATATTGACCGAATGTTAAGCTGACGCAATTGGACAAGATTTGAGTTCTTGTTCTATGGCTAGGACTTATCAGACTTCTAAGATAAGTGAAGTTGTCAACGCGTTCGACTACTTCACTTCCTATCCTTAGCTTAGGTGTTAACACAAGCCAGTCCTGAAGCAACAATTTGCATTTAGAAGAGAAGGAACGCACCCCAAATATCCTGGTATTGTTGCTCAGTGCCATCAAAAGACTCTGCAAAAAAAGTAAGTTCCTATTTAGTACGTCAGTGACTGTATTGAACAATTTCTTTAACAGCTATAGCAAGTCATAAAAAAAATCAATAAAGCGAAATTATTAACACGAAAACTGTATACTCAATTGTGGAGCTTTCACTATCATTCTGGAGAATGTCTACGCCTACTTCTACTAGGAAGTGAGTGCTAAAGTTCAAATACTGTTCTGTCCATGTTTTTTCCGTATTTATACTTTTCTCAAGACTTTCATCACTTTTTCGTCTTACACTAAGATCTAAATAGTCAGCAGACAAAAAACACCAATCTTACTTCATTTTACAGAGACGATCACTATCAAACGTTTCCGAATTGACCTATGTATACAGAAAGAAAGTTCGATTAGACATTTCCTGCCATGGTGTGGTTGGATGTTTATCTAATAACTTCTATTCATTTTCAACAATGTCCTCAACGTTTTTATTGTTTTTTCGTCTTCTGATATTTATCTCTTACATAATATTAATGATTTTCACATAACAGTCTGTTTTACCATATTGGGAGATTACTCAATCACATATTAATTTCGCTGCTCTTACATAATCTCTTAATTATTACTTCTTCACATATAAAAACACATCGATATTAACTATGTTTATTCATACACTTTGTTTCCCTATTCTTCTGATTATCACGATTTTTGATTGTCATGAGCATCTATCTAAACTTCACAAACTAAAGTATGCTAAAAATTTGTTAATAAATATACTTTGAAGTTGTATGCAGCTGATGAGAAACCGTGAAATAGGTTGATGAATTTATTTTATTCTACAACCCTTATTGCTTTAGCTGTTTAATACCATATGAAAGTCAATTTGGGAAACAAGACATAACATAACTTGCGTTCCAGTTCTCCACGTTAATATGTTGTGACACATCCATGATAGAGTATAAACCGTCTATTAAACACACGTTTTTAAGAAATATTTTGATGTAGGCTGTATCAACAATGTCTGAGTACGCTAAGAATTCAGTATATCGAGAAAAAATCAAATGAAGTAATACAGTAAATTCTGTCACAAAATAGTCAGCTACTTGTTGAAATAAATTCATTCTACGTGGTACAAGAATAAACAACTTCATCTAAAGAATAAGTGAGAACGTTGAAACCACTGAATAAAAAAATACAGAAATACTGAACGTCACTCGTAGGGGTTAATAAAAAACACGAATGTAAATTTTATTGAGATCACGAACTGATTTACGTTAAATAACCAGTGAAAAGTGAAAGCACTGGATAGCAGCTCAGTCCTAGTATGGGAATCATCAACAGATTGCATCTATGACCCCGCAACCAAGAACCCAATATACGACTCGCCGTCACGAGTATGAACACTTGACCTCTAAACCATTGAGTCAAGATTTAATGATGTAAAAGATACTAGGCGGCCATTTTTCATTGTATTCGGTAGGTGACTTCCTTACACCCAACACGGTTGAACTCCACTGCTCGTGTTTTCGGGTTTTCAATGACTCTCATAGGTCGGTTCGTGATCTCAATAAAACAGAACAACCACAACTTCATACCTACAACTATAAATCATTATTAGTTAATACATGAATTAAGTTAAAATTAACAAACTTACCTCAAGCATAGAAAATAATTCTTGTTTAGAAATTCCAACTCGATCTTTATCCATACTATCCACTACATAAATAATAGCATCAGTATTCGCATAATAACAACGCCAATATGGTCGAATACTAGTTTGACCGCCTAAATCCCATACTTGAAATTTAAGATTTTTGTGAACAACTGTTTCTACATTGAATCCAATAGCTGAGATTTTGGAAAAAAAAAGAATATGTATATTAATAATTCTAAAGAATTTCGATGAGTCTCTTTGTTTTAAAAAAGAGGTCATATTGATATGGAATTCAGTGATTTTATTGATAATAATAGTAATAGTATTATTTAATACTATGAATTTTGTCATAGTAAAGAATTTTCAGCATCAATAGTGTAATTTCGCAATAAATTCTTGTTTCATATTCATTCAAATCTTAATTATTCAGGAAAAGCATTATGAAATTTTTTAAATAGACAGTTTATTTATTTTAACACATAGATATTGGTACAAGGAGGCACCAAATAGATATGCACTACATAAATCATTCGATTTGTGTGAGGGCTGGGATACTGTTCGGGTGCCCAAATCGAAGCAGTATATGCAGTTGGCATAATTAATACTCAACTCAAAAAGTCTAAAATAGTTAGTCCAAAATGTTAGGGTTTATTTATTTCTTTGTTTGAACATATAAATATTTTTACAAGAGGGCATCAAATATATATGAGCCAATGGCTTTTAAAAACAGAGCTAAGAACAAATAAAAGACGGGATATTGGATGGGTACTTCATTCATATTTCGGACATTTTAATATTTAATCCACATTATCTCTGGAAATATATCTAGGAACTTTGACCTTTGTGATACATTTGAGTCAGAACTTGGTGGTTATCGTGAGAAGTACGCAGTGCTATTTAGACCGATCTGGACTTTTACTATTCATATGAGAAATCTCGGAATAATAATTAGTTTATACTGATAGATAACGGTAAATATTTTACATGCTCGTTTGCAACTCAGTTCGTATCAACTTACATACTTTGGATATCAGGGAAATAATTGAGTTATTAAAATATTCATTTCCAATACATTTTTCGACCAAATAAACTTTAAACCTGTTCTTAAACTTTGATTAACTGTTACAAATCGTTTTTGATTAAATATAAGGCAAAAATGAAGGTAGTTTTAAAAGCTTTAAATGGTTTTTTAAAACTAATTATATTTTAAAACCCCAGGACAGTAATAAATATGCATTATCCCTTCATACGACCGGAAGTATGGGAAAATATCTCGTTATACGATACTAAATATTCATCTATTAAACTAGTAATCATTAACTTCGCTCGCTTGTATAGGAATTATATTTTCGTGCTTGAATTAAGACTTTTGCTGATTAATCTCATAATATTAAATAATAACATTTTAATAACTAACCGATTATATTCTTACTTTATAAAGGAATGAACTATATATACAGAGCACTTTCTTACTGAGTTAAACTAGTAGGGAATAAGAGTGTTGTACGCCAAACAGCATACCTTTTCTCTTTTTATGAATAGTTTTTTATAAGCTACCAAGAGTATCTTCATAAAATGTTTATATAAATTATTTTTACACCTCATATTAGTTTGGGATGGACAGATTTTCTTTTTTTGAAAATAGAACTTTTATCGAAATTTACACTAAGATTTTTCGGCTGAGTTTAAAGATTACGATTATGGCTATTTAGGTACCACTAAAAAGTACCGTTTATAAAGAATCTATCGAAAATTAAGGACTTACTAGGGATGGTTGTTACCACTTCACCAACCTGTAACCTATAGAGAATTGTCGTTTTCCCGGCTCCATCTAAGCCTAAGATGAGGATTCTCCGTTCTTTACTTCCAAACAGTCGGGAAAACAGACTAAATATACCACCTGAAATCATAAGGATTGTGTTTGAAAGAATGCTTACCCATTTATATGATAGCTCTTTTGTATTTCGAATAATATACGGTTATTTAGAACTTTGGTCTGAAGTGGAACCGTATGGTTCCTATAAATTACGATAGATGCTAAAATAATCCAGTATATGGTGAAAAAAGATTAATTGACCTTATAACAGATACCACCGTATGCAAAAAGGGCTTTATTTATTGGAAAACCATTTCTACATGCTTTAAGTAAGACACTTGAATAATATAAAAACAACACTACAAAGACATTGCTGTATAATCTCTATTTGCACTAATAATGTTACTACCACAGCACAACTTTGATGTGCTAATAGTGCAGCAGCTTGAACCGATGCACACATGTCAGACTACATTCCTTGACTGGATGATCACTGGAAGTATTTCCGTATATCAAACGCCTACAGATGAATCTAGTGATCTTTTCAAGATGTGTACATGAGGCTTTTTATAACTTGTTGTCACTAAGTCATGAGAAAGCTATAAAATGACCTGGCAAACAGGATAAATTTGTATGTTCGTGTTTCATCACATGTGAAGAACATTTATTAGACTTGGCAATACTAAAAATGATCTAAAGGATAATGACTTAAGAACGAACGATAACAACATAAGTAAGGGAAAATAAATTATGGAAGACTTAAATGATTTCGCAGGTTTTTATGTAGCATAGATAAAGAAATTACAGGGTCACTGGCCTGATTCGACAATATCGTCATGAAACCTGCATATACAACATAGGACCTAGTACACGAACGACTTTGTACACCGAAACTTTATTTAAATGGAAAATTATAAAGGAGGATAAGGGAATTGAGAGGGCAGTCCTTTTTTGGTCAACTACTTCGAAATGCCTATTTACTAGCCTTCTCTTAAATGCTACAGAAATTTATGATGAACACTTTTCCTCCTAAAGTGAACTAAAAAGTAATATAGTCCGCAATTTAAACTTTAATGTGGGTCGAACTAATTTGTTTACATCTATCATAGGATTATCAAGTGAGGACCCAAGTTGTTCTCGGATTTGCAGAAATAAGTACTCTCATCTACAAGGAAATTAGATAAATATAAAAAACTGTTATTATCTATAACTCCTAGGCATTTCATGCACTAACATTCTCTTATGTCCATGTAATATCTCTCGAAACAAACTGATACTAGTTTTTAGTTTACTGAGACAAGTTTCCTAGACACGTAGAACTACTTAGTTTACTAACACTGGAATAACACAGTTCGTACCGGCCGGTAGAGCCCACTAATTAGCTTGAATCTCCCTGGTGATAAGTTAGGAGATTGAGAAGCACCTCAAGAACGGAGTTCATCTTCGACGTCATATTTGCTGACCGTTTATTAAGGATCTTTACAAAGGGCTAGTGCGGTAACTTTAAAACTTAAGAATAAGAGGCATATGGAAACCTTAGTTTGGAAATTCTCTGTGATCATCGAACAAGAATATAATCAATGAAGAGGCCCTGAGTAAAAGCCTGTAAAAAATGGTATGTTAACATACCACATACGACCTATATATGTCGATTACTAGTCCTAAGATGACAGTAAGAATTTTCGAGTCTTTAGATATTCGTCACTCTTATTTGTGAGTGATGGGTACCAAATATCTGGAACCGTACTGAAATATCAATTAAATATTGTATAGACTAATTATAATTGGACTATAGTCCAATTAGACTATATATAGTCTAATTGGTCTTTACAAGCCTGTAACAAAGCTATTGAGTTTCATGTTTTTGTAGTAGAATGCTGAATTTCTTTATCCGAAGGGTGGTTGGACTATGTTATAACTCCCGATACAACAGAAATCTTAACAATCACACACAAACCGGTGACCAATGTTACCACTTGTAGCTCAAACCTTGAATAAATTCCATTCAGTGTCTAATATTCACTTGGTGAGGTTCAGAATTTTAGATCTCATATATCCTATATCCATAAAATAGGATAAGTTTTTATTGGTTAATTACCTAACGCCTAATTTGCATTGTGATGGAAGTGATTCATGACTTAAAATCACTCATCTAATCATGTAGATTTTCAAAGTTGTTTTTGCAGAAATATGTCTTCCAGATCAACTCGCTTCAGTCATTTATCAAAAACAGTTTTGAGTACTTTCATAATGGATCCCGGTTTGGATAGAACTGATCTTAATGAAAAAAGAGGGACTTTGTAGATGAGATCTCAAATTAATGGGATGGGACTTATTGAAGTTGTTCTGTCTGTAGCGGAAAATGGTTCGGCAAGTCTTCGGCGTCGACTGTGACCTCGTTTACTTAGCCAGACACATCCTCGCTGGAGGCGCGCGTTTACACATCTGCACCAAAACGCCGTTTGGTACGCCGTTCTGCACAACCCTTAGTTCACCTGCTTCTCTACACACAGTCCACTTTTCAAATAAGTTTTTATATTATTCTATCCCTGACTTTTACTTCGATTAGGTTTTGGATCCTTTAATCACAAGAAGGTCACAGAAAATACTTCGTCGAGCCCTGAACGTTCGTGATACATTGAGACTAATCCGGAATGGTATTACTTTGGTTTCCGTCGCATTATTTGAATCCAACAATACTTGACTAGTCTGAATCCAAATCCCCGTTGGTTAGGGAAAATTTTAACCAGTATTAAGGTCAACGATAATCATAGTTGACCTAATTGTTACATAGGGTTCTCTAGAGTTGACTTAAGAATTAGTTACTCTCGACCGCCCTTAGATTGATTTTCACTGATTACAACGGCCATTGATACTTCGTTCAGTTTTTATAGAAAACAACCACATCTTATTTGAGTTCCGACCCTGATTTTTCTTATTCCGAGGACTGCGCTAAACTGTGGATTTTACAAGATAGAATGTGTGCCGTATACGCAGGAAGTGATGGATATCACAGTTGTTAATTCCAAAGTTGACTAATTCTTAGTCAATCAGCGTGCACCAACGCAATCGAGCATCGAACATGCTTTAATCCAATCTTTGTCCCGCCAACAACACGTTAACCAATTCTGGCAACTTTGTGTCAACTCTGATCCTCTATTGATACTCTATCTAGAAGCTTCTTTCCTGGCCCAGTCACATCAGTCGAAAATAAAAATATCAGCCTTCATTATAAAAATCACATATTTCAGATACTTGCGGCTTAAATACAAGTAGACCGTACCGCATCACACCATAACATGAGAAGTAATCATTACATAGGATTAAGCCAAAAGTGAACGTGAGTATAAGAGACTATAAATAGTAGATTGGAGATAAATGAAAAGTTGAAAATCGTATAATGTTAGCTAATGGGTCAAGTGAAAACTTATGATAAGAAGAATATATTTCGTGCTTATTAGCGACCCTCGTTCTATTGATAGAAGAAACCAGGCTGGCATTGGATAAATTTTTATTTAGATTGCGAAACAGTTACCACGGAGTGGGGGATTACCTGTTAAAATACACAAAGTTTTTCAACATCCATTATAAGATAATAGGAAATATAATTCCTATACGAAATAAGGAAGTGAATGAATACTTTAGCTTCATTGTTTTGGCAGATACTTGGTTGTTTGGAGTCAACTCTTAACCAATGAATGCAAGCTGTTACATATACATATGTATGACCTAGTTATTTAATAATTATACGACAAGAATTTACATAATAATAGTGCACAAATAATTCCTGTAAGTTGTCGCTCGTTTATTTTTAGTTTGGACATAACACTTACAAATTCAACTGCGTGGTTCATCAACGTTAATCTCCTGGACTACATCCCTGTTCTAGTCACGAAGTTTGATGGAACCTGATGGAGAAGCCTTTTGCTTATCTGTATAACATTTAATTTGCGCTAACTGCATATATACCCGGGAAAGGATGTATTTTTGTGACGGCAAACGAATACCGATGAACACTGAGGGTTAAATTTACAGGACTTTCTTTAAGGGCGAGTAGACCGTATGTGAAGACCTGAAAAATCTGAGCGGGTGATTATGTATTCTAGAGCATAAACATAGGTTTAAATGAAACTCTTGTAACAGCTTATGTCCTGGTATACATTATATGCACACCTAAAGTATACATTTCAAATCTAACTACGCGTTCTGTAGCATACATATGGTCGTAGATTCGCTCGTGTATCCGACAAGGCAAAAACGAATAATTGTGTTTGATAGTAGAGTGGAGGATTTGCATTAACATGACTTCAGAAAGCGCTAAATTCCCTTTCCGAGTACTGAAAAGTGTTCGCCGAAAAGTTGTAGCCAAGATATCAGTAACTGACAATTTCGCACTTTGGATATGTGAATTTGTAACGTACTTACCTATCAACTTATAAAATCCGTAAATTATCTAGCATTTTCTTGTCCACTTGCTGAATGTTACGCATAATAGCATATTTTACTCTGGTTTAAATAACGTGAGGTTCCAACTTTCACTTTAGTCCTCCGTCTTCTGTCCTGACTCATTTTCTACAAATACAGCACATGCCGGCTTGACCAGGAAACTTCCTAGTTGGTATATTAAATTTAATAGTACAAAAACTGAAAAGCATCTAAATTCAATACCCAACAGTTGCAACTCTACAAGTCAAGAAATAACACATACAATGTAAGATCCTTTAGGAAAGTTTTGTGTATGATAATCCATCCACGTACACACCGTTGTGATCTATTCTTCTTGATTCCTTCTGGTGTGCATTTAATTTATATCTTTATTCCACTATTTGTACTATTTGTATTTACGTAAACATTTTGTCTAATCAACGTCTTCACCAATTTTTTTTGTTATTTCTTGAACTACATCTATGATGCTTTGGCTGTTATTGAGTTATTTCAGCTGTCATATTCATACACTCACTCGTTGTATTGATTTGCTTGAACTGACCGGAATTTTGTAGTTTTCATCGTGAATCGAAGCATTCACCCAGAATTGGAAACAGTTGGTGTTGTAGCAAAATTAAATATTATCATTCTAACAATTTGCATGTGATATGCCCAGAAGGGGTAGAATAACATTTCTGTGCTGATATGTTGATTTGTTTGTTGCACTTGGTAAGTCCCATATATCCGTTATCAATTCATCTATTTAATTATATTTAAACTTGACTACTGATTGAACGATTATTGGCTGAATAACTGGGCGGAAATATTTGTTTAGGTAATAATGTATGTTTGAATTCAAAATTAGATTTAGAAACTTCATTTACCTAATTACCGTGTTATGGATTCTACCGAGCAACAGAGCGTAACTTAACTAACATGAACAGTTATTCATCGTTCCGAATTGGTTGAGTTTAGGGGTTGCATGTATTCCTTTAGATACATACAAAATTTGTTTATATGAACGTAATTCATCAGGTAGATTCAACAGCATTCATGACATAAACTAGTTGGCAAGCGCATTATAAAAAGATCATCTCGCATTTTTTGCGTAGTGCCCTCCGACCACTGAAGTTCAGCACTTGACGTAAGTCAAGGACAATTATTTCACACCAAATCTTTGGTTGAAATCCACCATTTGAAATGTATCGTTAAGAAATTAAGAAGCTGAAGCTGTTTTATTAGTGAAACTAAAATGTTATTCCGTTTAACAGTAACTTTTGTACGCAATGTGATTATGTATGACCACATCATAATTAGAAACGAAGCACTCCATCTGTTGATAAATCAAGTAAGAAAATAAGGGGTGATCTGATATTGGAATACGAAACACTAGGCTCTCCAAGCCACCTCAACACCAGTATAATTTTAGGACACTATCACCACGCTCATCGAGGCAATTCTAGAAACATCCTTCACCAGAGAGCGAACATCCAGGTACGTTATCACCTTTTCTCATCAAGGGTTGCCGTCATTTTGAATGCTCTCTAGACCGAAGTGAGCACAGGCCCATCAGTTTATGTATTTAAGAGGAGACTCAACAGGCAAATAATCGCCCATGGATTGTCATCCCCTCCTTAAACCACCTGTGTCTGATACATTTCTTACAAATTACCACGGTTATCACTACCAAAACTTGGCAACCGTCTTCCACGTCTCTTATTATGATTTCCGTTTCCCCTCTTATTCATTTAAATCCGTCTTCTTACACATTGACAATAAATTAACTTGCTTATTATTCTTGAAAGAATCGCCTTCTCTTTGTACTGTAATTGTCACTTCACTATTTTCACGTGACAACCAGACACCCTCCTACCTCATAAAGTGATGACTTATGGTATCTACGATCCCTGCTGCCCTGAGACAAACGCAGTCACTGAACTACATGATTTACAAATTCATATGTAGTTACCAAAATGGATTAGAATTGGTATATTCGAGCGGCTAGACTACCACCCATTGGAAATTCACATGCATATAGAACGGTATCGAAGTAACAGTAAGTGGGAGTAAATAGATCGGTCTTTTTATACATGCATAAATGCATGTATAGATCTCCCACCAATTGTCTACAATAGACTTAGTAAACCAGATCGCAAGTGGACACGTGACATATACAATATTAATTCTGAAGATTTGCTGAATAATATCGTTTTCCTGATAGGTTTGAGGAAAAATTGTATGCAACCCTGAAATAAGGCGTCCTGATACGGTAACAAATAAAGGCTAATGGTGAGTTGAATAAGATGGTATTCGAGAACATTTGTATTGATGGATCGATCACCAACATTAGCAGGAACTCAGCATTACCATAACATTAACGGTGTTAGACACTCCGTGAACTTGTGTCTCTCAGTAGGGACTCCCCAAATACAACTATGGTCTCCAAAACACCCACTGTGAACGACTGTATCTCCGTCAGCCGAAGTAAATGGTACAGAACGTCACCGCCCAAAATGGTGGACATTTTGAGAAAATCAGCTGAAGAATCTGTCGTGAAGTCTACCCCCAAGTTTGTCCAACGTGTTAACAAAATGCACGGGAATCATGACAGTGGTCAACCTGCCAAACCAAGGTACTCTAATATTAACGTACTCAAAAACCTGGGAAATGCAGTTAGGGTTCGCGATAATTCTCTCATAATCATGAACTATGAAGATGGCCCTGACCTTTCTCTCAGTTCTCAAGACGAAAACGACAGGATGTCTAGGAAAGTCAGATAGTAAACCCAGATTTCCCAAAATTGAGCCACCAATGGTTGTATGACTTTTTCCGAGAGAAGAACGCCATCCACCAAAACCATCCCCAAATCCTTCTTCAGCGTTCGCTATCAGTGATGACGTACAAAACGCTCTCTTGACCGGTCACTTGCCGAAATCAGAAGATGTGAGAATACTTCCTGACAAACCATATTTCGAGCGCATTCTAATCAGGGACATCTCAAATGGATTTCGTGAGACGTTCTTTTGAGGAAGAAATAGTTTTGTGCAAGTTGTTTCAAAAAACGTAGACCCTAATTACGCGGGCTGAGATATTCTGGTGTAGAAGTTCATAAAGTAGCCCTTTAACCCTGAAAACATATTAACCCAAGTGGTGCAATCATCAAGAAAAACGGGGAATTTAGACCCAAACTGGTGAATGTAACCTTCACACTCTCCCAAGTAGTGGGTGCTTTTCTCGGTGCACCCCTTGACAACGAACGCCGGTTACCACCTTGTATCAGAATGTGTGCTGACAGGTCACATGATGCGAGGGTTAAGCACAAAAGCAGATCTGAACTGACGGTTCCACTTGCCAACTGCCGATAACAAAGAAAATATGTAGGATGGAAATGGGTTACCAAGTCGAACAACCCCGTTTGGGTAGGTTACCTGTTCGTTCATATAAGCCTCATTCACATAAACAGGATACAGGAGCTCACTTGTTTCAAATGGAATGCATATACTGCCTATATACGAAAGCTTAGAGTTTTTCAGACAAAATGGATGAGTTAGGTGAACTAAGCGACCGAAGCAATACTTATCTGATAAGAATATCCGAAGCATGAGCATCTCAAATTGTGAACCAGGGGTTGGGAATACCTGGCATGCATTTGTCCCCTAACGACAGAAAAACATAAGTGGGAGGTGGAGCAGCTCTTGACCTACGGTCTTGTTTGGTAGCACATCATACATACACTAAAGTGTTTGTTAGTCTTGATGAATCTGTATGTTTCTTTGGGAGATTGTCCGAAACCTCGAGGTGTCTTATTAAAGTCATCTACGGGAAACCCATTGTTAACACCGAGTGGGATAATCGTATGCTGAGGTAATTATCTCTTTCTGTGCATTTTGGACACACACATATCCCGACTAGTCGAGAACTCAATCTTCCTGAAACCAATTTCACTAGACGCATAAACATTGGAGGTTAAAACTTTAGTGAAACACGGTTCTTTAATCTCCTGAAAGATCTGGGATTGTTCAAAGATGCAAAGTTATTGACTCAGTGACGAAACAATCAGAAGCCGTCACGCTTAAACTGGATTTTCTCAAACGAGGAACTACTTAGTGATAACCTGTCAATCCTGGCTGCTTTAGACAAGGTGATTATGCCGTAATAGCCTTTAATATTGTCAGCGAAACATCCTACCGACAACAGGTGTTGTAATTACAAACGGTTGGATGTGTCAGCTTTACAGGTCAATCTACAACGGGCGAACTGGACAGCCTTCAATTTGATGTAGACGTACATTGGGATTTCATACTGCACACAATCATGAGTGCTACAAAACAGTCTGACCCACAAGCTGTTCCTAGAAATTACATAGAACCTACAAAGAACCATAATCAAGAATCACCCACGACGTGAAACTTTGTGAAGAATTTCGAAACCAAGATTATAAGCTGACACCTTCGCAGGACCTGACTCGATTTTGAAGTTGGACGAGGACCATCGGACCTTATTTGAATACTTTAAAGCGTAAAGTAGTCTACATGTTGCAGGCTACGAATACAACGCAGGTAACTCTTCTCTGATGGTATCCCAAGTTGAAAACGATCTAAGTGTTGATAGCCTGCAATCTGAAGTCTTACGGTAACTGAGACAAAAATGTCTTTCGAGTAAACCCTTGCCCTGATAAATTCAGATATAATTTTTGGCCAGTGTGATGGAAGAACCTCTCATATAATCTTAAACACTTTTATTCGTCTCAGTTTAGACTACTGAAACATAGTATTTCCTCTCTCACTCCAGAAGGATAACGATACTCTGGAACTTATCCATCGGTTAGCCACGAAACAAGTTCGGGGGCTCAAATTCAAGCTCTATAAAGGGTGTATCCAATCACTAGACCTTTACTCATTAGAATACAGGTGTCTTAGAGTTGACCATCTAATGACTTACATCGTTTTAAACGCTCTTGGGCATCAACTCAATCACCTAGTTAAGCTCAGTCCCAACGCAAAATTTGAGGGAAACACCCAGAAATTAGAGACATAACACAGGGGAATTGACTGTATGAACAAATCTCATGCTTTAAGAGTAGTCGAATTTCGGGATTCACTTCCGGCTGAGTTAGTCCAAAGGAGTTCACAGAAGCCCTTTATGAGAAAACTTAACATAATATTACGGGCTGAGGGCAGTATCTCATTATGATTTACTGACACTTCTTTTTTCACCGTAAAATATACCTAGGTTCCTACCTAGAGACATCACTGACCTACTGATACTAGATACGGGAGCCTGTTAAGTTTCTATTACGTCCAAGCTCGTGACAAAGACATTGAATGTAAGTACTGCCTTGTCATTATAGGACTATCAACCCCTATTAAAATAGTGAAAATATACCGGCTACACATGTAATCATACAGTTATTTCCGAATTCTGATATTGTGGTAATCTTTTGAATATATCAGTATTGCACTTTCAACCTTGACGGTAACTAAGTTTCCTATTTGTGCATTAGTATGAAAAACTCTTAGGAAGATTGGAAGCTTATTTATATATCAACTTTATCTCTATTTCTAATTATTTTCGATTGCTATCACAGTTATATGTAAGTATAACCAGAGTAATGAATATACATCCCGTTCATTGTTGAAATGTCATTATCATATGTTATCTCTAGATTCTTGACACATTGTAACACAGGTGATTCCAGTACCATTTGTGGTTCTTAAAACGTTTAAGAAATTTCTGTCCGCAAGCTAAATTAAAAACTGCATCTAAATGTGCAGATGGGGTTGTCAGGCAAACGACACAGTATCTTAAAATCGTTTCACGTACTGAATGATAATTAATTATTAAGACATACATGTGCAAGTGGTGTGGAACAAGATTTTGTAAAGTTTGTCTGGTCGGAGACTTTCAAGGAAAAATGAAAGCTGAGGACCACTGTTTTGTTTGCAATCAGGTAAATTCCCAACACTTTACTTAGTTTTATAAGAACCTGGAGACATCTACTTATCTCAGCTACTGTTAACATATTTCATATGGATTTAAAACCCATAACCTAGCCTTACTCGGGTTTTATGCAGTAGTAAGAAAGGGAAAAATTGAGCGGAATTTAGTTAACTTTGATGAATGGAAAATCTTGTCTAGGCAATTAGATTACACTGGTTTAATTAGCATCTCATTCGGCAGTTAGAAATAGATCGTATTCAGAGGTACGTTTTAATGCTTATAGTAACTTAACTGATGTCTATGCACTGAATGTATAAGTAGACAAATTTGCACGAGGTAAAAACAAGTGGCTCAGGGACATATTTCAGTTCTTGTCTAACAAATAAAGTTTTTATGAATTTGAATTGGCAATGATTTGGGGTTTTATCTGTTTTTGAAGCATCAAGATCTATCTGGTGAGATGTCGTTAGTTTCAGATTCATAGCACATAGTTAACCTAATATACATAGCCAATCTCTAGTTTGTTTACACTGGTGCCTTATGTAAAAATGATCAGAAATATGTGATGCGATATTACCAGTCACTAGCACAGAGAACAAAGGAGACGAAATATCCTCATAAAAATGGCTCATTATTATCTCAAACATTTAGTATATAATTAGTGAGACAATCATAAAATATACAACGACATAGAAACAAATCCCCATATTATGTTCGACACGTTAAGCGAAAACGTTTTAAATAGTGTCAATCTTTATCTTACAGTCCTTTATTATTTCTAAATCCATTTTCAGTTAAGATGTATTGGAAAACGCGTTGAATATGTACCGTCTACAAAGAAACCAGAAACAAAATCTATAAAGAAAGGAGGGGCGAGAAAAAGCAAAAAGAAAACAGGAAAAAGTGCAAAGAAGACTGGGAAGAGTAAAAAGAAGAAAAAGTAGATACAAAATTACGTTTTTCGATCCACGAAATCATAACCCAAGTCACAGCTACCAAATTTTATTTAAAGAACATAGATCTTTAGAAAAGTTTATAGTACCCCAGTAGACAAAGTGTTTGATTAGCAACATTATGACTTAATAAACATGAGTACTCAGTACATTATTGGAAAGTGGTACAGTTATGAGATATTACTCGTTTTTTCATTTTGGTTGCTAGCTTTAACTAGGGTGAAAGAAATTGGATTTTGATGTTTACATATTCTTGTGATCCATCTAATTGGATTTCAGTTTAGAGGAGATAAAATATTTAATAAGTGATTAAGTGACTACAGTCGTGTTATTGATGAGTCAAATGGTTGTGGTAAAAGTATTGCAAACCGTAATAAATTTTAATTCGTGAAACAATACTATATTCAAGAATGCAATTCATGTTAAAACTATAAGACTGCCACAAACATACATTACCATTCTCCCCAAATTTTAAAACGGGACGAATATTAGGGAATTTGGAACTTTCGGAATAATTTTACGGACTATTACTTATACTTTCTTATTGAATAAATAGTAGATAACTGTATTGTTGTATTTCTATATTCACCTTATGGAAAGCTTTTAATTGACCTATTAAATGTTGTTGCACGGTTCACTATTCCTTAGTCACTGCGAATAAACGATGTATTGTTTGCTCCGCACTCTACCACTTATGATATGATTGTGTTTAAAGTGTGGTTCCTTATTCACTGTGTTATGTAGTCAGTCGTTCCAAGTATATTATTGTCTGAGTTTCAAGTCACTGATGAACTGGGTAAAACAGAGAACTAATATACCTTCTACTAGTCTTTTGGTTGGCTACTGGGTTAGAAAGAGCTTGAGGACCAATAAACATTACCGTATTGACTGTTATTTATTGGTTAGTGTGTCGATTGGTAAATCGATGAGCGGTCCTAGTGGGAGTATATGTGAACCAGTCGATAACCCGAAGTATGCTTGGTAAATCTAGAGAGTGATATCAATTAGAATCTCAAGTCATAACACATTGGGGATCAAAAGACAATACCAAGCTTGTGCAACCAACTGTCAACAGGGATGGAAATGTAGTTATCATTAGGTGTACCATTTTTCTTCCACTTTGATCAGCTAGTTTCTATCCTTATGGGCAGTTGATTGGAGGTCTATATCTTACACTTGTTGGTAGAACATGCTGGAGACGACACTCATGGAGAAAATATAGTTGTTCTCGAGTGGAAGCCTGTCTTTTGGCGAGGTTCTCCCATTTTCGAACAACGAGAAGCGTATTACGCTCATATGATTTGGAGATGGTGGAGCTACAAATCTTCTCCACCATGAAAAATCAGCCATTTAAACAAATAAAGGCTTATTTTCCCCCAGTGTATAATGCGAAATAAGGAATTTCTATAGTAGAGGGCTGTTATTTAAGCTTATATGCTGCTCTAATATCGGAAGTTCTAAAATATTCGACTTCTGAAGCCATTGCAGCGTAGTTGATTTAATAATCAAACAAAAATTTCGTCTTACTTAGATAAAAAAGTAGGCAGTTGGAATGATTGTATTAGAACTATTCGCAAGACTCAATGCCGAAATTCCAATTCTTTCTAATTAATGGCTAAAGTCCTTACGTGAAATGGTCGAAAGTAGGTTATAATAACCCAGGTACTTCCATCCCTTATCTGTTCGTAGATCTTCAAATTCGGTGTTATTTCATAATTTTTATTCTGTGAAGTGATTTCTTTTTTCCGACGACATTTTTTATGTCCATTTCTGTTCAATTACAGACACTATTACTACTACAAACTCTTTGTTATGAATCATTTTTCAGTGCTGATGAGTTTCGATAACTTCAGCTGATATACATTTGCGCCACAATCTACATTGACTATGACTAAAATACTTGTACTACAAAATCCGTTACTGAAGGACTCAGAAATAAATCATAACAAAGTTATGATGGGGTTTTGTTCTCCAGCTCAGAGAACAAAACCCCATCAAAATCATTCACCTGAGCTACAAATCTCCACCATCTCATGAAAAAGTTAGCAAATCAATGTATCCTTTTGAAATTTAAATTAACATATTAAGACACATAGAGCTTATAGTTTTACACATTCCTGTTTTTATGATTTTAAAAATCTGTTTATGTAAAAGAAATACTTATTCTTCAATTTACAATTGATTCCGGAGACCAAATTACTGACTGATCGATGAAGTAAGCTCTTTATAGTTTATGAGTTTTTTGTATAGAAGTACGTTCAAAATTCCACAATTTTATGCACAATTAAAAATCAGAATATTTTTGGCTGAAATAAAGACATCAAATCTATTGAAAAATTTAGATCAAGCAAGATTCCAATATAAAACAATTCATAGTCGTACGAAAATCACTAAAACCAATCATGACTTATATAAGACTAAATAAAATGAAGATGTAATACATAACCTGCAAGGATAATTGACACCATCTAAAAATAAGACAAAATAACGACAATAAAAGTAATGGCCGAAAAGGATTGATAGCATACACCAAGCATATACCTTACTATTCTAGTAAAAACTTCACGATCACAAACCAAAGTCAGATATCGCAACATACTGACAAAAAGCATAATATAACTAAGTCCATATTCGTTAGAAGTCAATAATATGTGGAGAGGTGGCAATACGTAACGTGGTAGAAACAAGATTTTTTGCGACATTGTGAAACTATTGCATTAGTTCTAGTTGCAAAGTCGTGAAATGCAACCAGAAAAATCTGATAGGAAGAGAAGATACGAATTATGAAAGAATAATTATTATTTACCCGATCGAAGCTGCTACCTTGACGCGGTGGTCGGGCTTGCCTATCGTGATGACCCAACCGAGCTATATTGGCTGGAACATATGTTCCTGCAGGTTCTACCATGCCAGGCAGGTCGATTGGCGAACGGTAAGACTAAAAGCAGCAACTCAAGGTCTGAGGGCGAAGTCGTACTGCTGACTGTAGAGAGGTGTGACAGCAGTAAGGTGTTTCCCTCGGACAACCAGCATGACAGCGATGCTGCCTTCCCACAAGGAGGGGTGGGGTTAGAAAAGGTCGACCCTAAAAATGCACACCTCACCTTACTTCACGGATTTCCGTCTCCGGCGGTAAGGCCCCTTGAAGAACGGAGCTAACACGTCAAACACCTTCCACAAAAAGGCCGTGCGCGACCGGCCTCAAGCAGTTGTCCCTTGGGCTCTGCGGTCACGCTCCCATGTCGTCAAGACCAACACTAATCCAATTTCCTTTTCAGGTTCATCAAGAAATACCCTTCCACGGTGTGGGCAGCCGGGAAGTGACATCAGCCCTCATACCCGTAACAGCACAAGAGACCAAGGTGGTCACATTCAAATCCTTCCTACACCTCCTAATACCTCTCTTATCCTCCCGACTAACCCTCCTCACGTCTCTTTATCACCTCGCACCGCTAGGGCAAACGATTCGAGTACGTGGAACGCCATTCCTGGTCTCCTGAAACCACGCTCTAAACTACACGTAGGAGCTTTTAACGTACGAACACTTTGCCAAATAGGACAGCAGGCTTCCTTAGCTAAAACTTTAGAATCTCGCGCCATCGATGTGTGCTGCGTCTCCGAAACGCGCATACAGGATCCAAGTAGCGTCATTCATTTGACCTCACCATGCCAAAATAAAGAACCGACTCGATTTACGCTTCGTGTATCTGGAAGCCCTGATTCTGCTTCTCGTGGCCTCGCCGGCGTAGGTATAGCATTGAGTCCTAGGGCAGAACTAGCTCTCTTAGAGTGGATCCCAGTAAACAGTCGTTTGTGCGCTGTCCGACTGAACGGAACAGTAAGAATCCGGAAAGATAGGGACACTCGTCGTTGCCTCTTCGTCGTCTCTGCCTATTCTCCCACTGACTGCAGCTCAGACGATGTAAAAGATGAGTTTTACAGAAAGCTTTCGGACCTTCTCCGAAAAGCTAAGCGCTCGGATGTAGTAATAGTGGCCGGTGACTTTAATGCTCAAGTAGGTAAACTAAGCGATAAGGAAAGACACCTAGGTGGATCCTATGGTGTCGTGGCTCAAAGAACAGATAATGGCGACCGTCTGTTGCAGCTATGCTCAGATAACCGCCTGTTCCTTGCAAATACTAACTTTAAGCATAAGGAGAAACATCTTTTAACATGGCGACCCCCTAATTCGTCCCAACGTTGGACCCAAATAGATCACATCGCTATCAGCCACCGATGGAGGGGCTCGATAGAAGACTGTCGCTCATTCTGGAGCACATGCCTAGATTCAGATCATGCTCTAGTGCGAGCGCGTATTTGCTTGCGTCTTACTAGACGTAGGAAAGATCCTGCAAGGAAACCTCTTAGGGCCCTACTTAATGATAGTCAAGCTAAGAATATATTTCAGGAACAACTAGGAAAACAGTTAGGCAGCCATGTATGTGATGCCCACCCCGAGGCAGCATGGAACGATATCCGAAAAGCTGTGGAAACAGCAGTGATATCTGCTAGTAAGGTAAACCGTAAAGTTAGGGAGCAACACTGGATCTCAGCAGCATCTATCGCACTGATAGATGCTCGAAAACTCATTCCACCTGGCTCTGAACATAATGAAGAGCGGAGTCAGCTTAAGCGCAAGCTGACAAGAAGTCTACGCAATGATCGCGAACAGTGGTGGGTAGCGAAAGCAAGAGAGATGGAAAAGGCAGCGGCAATAGGTAATAGCAGACAATTGTTTAGACTCGTTAAGGAAACCGGAATTAGGAACCCGACCGTTAGCGAAACAATCTCAGAGAAAGATAGACATATTATTCATTCTCAATCCAGGAGATTGGATCGATGGGCAGAACACTTTAGGGATCAGTTCAACTGGCCTTCAGCCACACTTCGGTTTCCCATGATCTCCAGTCAACCTGAATGGCAAGTTAATGTAAGTCCTCCGTCCCTTTACGAAGTTGAAAAAGCTATAGGAAATCTGAAACGAGGGAGAGCAGCAGGCCCTGACAGGTTTACTCCTGAGATTTTTAAGGATGGTGGTCCAGTATTAGCAATGAGATTAACTGAGGTCTTAGGTAGAATTTGGGAACTGGACGTAATCCCATCTGATTGGTCTCAATCACTGATTGTGCCAGTTTTTAAGAAAGGACAAAAGTCCTCTTGTGACAATCACAGAGGAATCAGTTTGACTAATATGGTGTCTAAAATATTAGCCTCAATAATACTTCGACGCCTAACTAAAGCTCGTGAAGAGCAGACTAGAGAAAACCAGGCTGGTTTTCGGCCTGGACGTGGTTGTATAGATCAGATATTCACACTACGTCAGGTTCTAGAACAGAGACACACATTCAGACGCCCCACAATGGTAGTATTTCTCGACCTTAAGGCGGCATTCGACTCCGTTGATCGTGAGGTTCTATGGCAGTGTTTGTCACTGAAAGGAGTACCAAAGAAGTACATTAACCTTATAAAGGCTCTCTACTCGAACACAACTGGTAGAGTGAGAGCCTATGGCGAACTGTCATCAGAATTGATCACCTCAAGTGGTGTTCGTCAGGGCTGTCCACTCTCCCCATTCTTGTTCAACTTTGTCATTGACGTACTTTTAGAGATAACACTCTCCTCATCTAAATTTCCAGGTGTTGAACTTCTACCAGGAGGTTCACTTGTTGACTTAGAATATGCAGATGACATAGTTTTATTTGGTGAAGACGCTGACAAAATGCAGAGTCTTCTGACCACTCTAAGCAACAATGCAAGCATGTTCGGGATGCGATTCTCTCCCTCGAAATGCAAAATGTTGCTTCAGGATTGGGTTACATCGACACCCGAACTAGTGATAGGGAGTGAAGTAGTTGAGTGTGTCGACCGCTTCACTTATCTTGGAAGTCTCATCAGCCCTTGTGGTTTGGTGTGTGACGAAATCTCAACACGGATACAGAAGGCTCGACTAGCTTTTGCCAACTTGCGTCATTTATGGCGTAGGCGAGATATCTGTCTATCAACCAAAGGACGTGTTTACTGCGCAGCAGTTCGTTCCGTCCTACTTTATGGCAGTGAAACATGGCCGGTAAGAGTAGAGGATATCCGTAGGTTACTAGTATTTGATCATAGGTGTCTTCGAAACATTGCTCGTATATCATGGGACCATCGAGTAAGTAACACAGTTGTTAGGAAACGGGTACTAGGTAAGGATGGCAAATCAATTGATGACGTAGTGAAACTTCATCAGTTGAGATGGCTGGGACACGTGTTACGTATGCCCAACGACCGACTGCCTCGACGTGCTATGTTCAGTGGCATAGGAGTAGATTGGAAGAAAGCTAGGGGCGGCCAAACCAAAACATGGCACAAATCCATGAAGTCACTGACAAGTGAACTGAGTCATGTTGGTAGGTGTAGACTAGCTGGTTGGGGACCGCGAGATGACAGCAACCGATGGTTAGAGACCCTGAATGACATGGCTCAAAATCGTTTGCAATGGCGCAGGTGCATCCACTCTCTGTGTTCTCCCAAATTCTAATCTTCTGAATTCTTCATGTCCCTTTTTTCCTCTTTCCAAATTTCTTTCACTGGATTATACTCTTTAAATAACATCTCCAAACCCTAATCTTCCCGATTACTGCTTATACTCTTATTGTAGTGAACAAGAACACGGGTGGGGACAATCGATTGTATTTAGCACAAAAATTACAGACTATCTCAATAAAATGTGAATACCACAAAGTCAATCGTCAATTTGCAAAATATCATTCCATCATATCAAACTGTACTGTTCCCGTTGCAAACACTAATCCATTGTCTCCCATTCCATTGTACATGCGTTTTCTAACAATTCCATTGTGCTCTTGCTCTTCCTTTCTTGATCTTCGCCATCTTCTGCTGCCGGACATTACGTTCTTTTAACGCACGTTATATACTACTTATATCAATATAAGTAGCTCACACCACACTCGTCCCCCCCTTAAAGCAGTCGTGCTTGTGGTGCCTCATGCTCTCCGTGCAACATTCTCCGTCTCTGCAGTCCGTGCCACGCTCTCCGTCAAGATGTCAAGTCTGCGGCGCGCTGACTTCCACAGCTCTGTCGACCTGCCGGGGCAACAACAACCAACATCCACCCGGCACCTGGGACGCTTGACATCCGCACTCCACCGGCCTGCTGAACCATCTACATCCGATGTCCGCCCAGCAGCCGCGTGTCCCGACGCTCCACTCCGTCGACAGCACCCGCTACAGCCAACGCAGCCCCGCCAGGACACTTCACCAGACGCCACCTCTCCGCACCAGACTGCCCCAACTGGCACCTCAACTCCAGGCTCGCAACGGCGTCCGCAGAACAGCACACTCCTCCTCTCCTGGGTGGCAGCGACACCAAATGTAGTGAACAAGAACACGGGTGGGGACAATCGATTGTATTTAGCACAAAAATTACAGACTATCTCAATAAAATGTGAATACCACAAAGTCAATCGTCAATTTGCAAAATATCATTCCATCATATCAAACTGTACTGTTCCCGTTGCAAACACTAATCCATTGTCTCCCATTCCATTGTACATGCGTTTTCTAACAATTCCATTGTGCTCTTGCTCTTCCTTTCTTGATCTTCGCCATCTTCTGCTGCCGGACATTACGTTCTTTTAACGCACGTTATATACTACTTATATCAATATAAGTAGCTCACACCACATTATTACCTCTATCACTACGGGATTTGAATCGACAAGTGCATCTCTGTGCTAATGTGGTGTGGCAACTCGAACTGATGTACGTACGTACGAAGTTCTACGTTGTTACTGACTGACTGACTGAATTATTATTTAAGACAAACTTATCACATTACAAGCACAATGCAACAAAAGAAAACTGAGTATATGACAAAACACTGATATATTATATTTAATGTCTCCTGTGTAACTAAGGCCCTAATTTGTGAAGTTGGTCGTTCAGGTCTTGATAAATATCTATATAACCTAAATATCGATAATTTTAAAATATATTTACCAGTAGAATCGATACACCAAATTATTTTAGTGAAACTTATCAACAACAGTCAAGCTTCTTCACTGAACCTCTACAAGTGTATATTAAATTTCTCCCCTTGAACTTGCAATCGACTAGGAGAACTATGAATAAATGTTATATCTCGATACAGTCAGTCTATGGTCTTTGTTTCAACGTCGACCCAGTGCCAAAATACCCCGGTATGGTCAAGGGTGGAGAGAGTCAGCTCTCTCGAAATGTTCTCACATGGCCACGCGTATACAACTGCTGTCACGGAAGTCCTACTCACTACTTTCTCGTCGCAAGGGTGTTGTATACGAAACTGAGAGGACAAAAAGTAAATGTCTGGCGCTTTAACCGGGTTGGTGAATATGGAGAATTCAGCTAGGGGGGTTGGAAAACCTTGACTCCAAATCAATGGTACACATGGGCTCCAGAATCCAGCTGGAAAAACGGCATATGAGCCTACTGTTGGTCACCGACTACCATGGGACTGCATCTCCTGACGTTGTTCCACTGCCTTGTGGATTAGACCTCTAGGTCAAAGGCTCGAGGAGTGATCCTCTAAAGAAACCACTTAAGTCTTGGCACTCAGTATTCCAGCCCTTACACAAATCAAATGAAGCGTGGTACATGCATGTTTGGTTCCTTCTTGTACCAATGTTTATGTGTTTAAATAAATAAATGAACCGGTTGGACTCCTACTACTTACAAATCACTTTCATTACAACCTCACTAACTGATCTTATGTAAGTAAATCCTTGAACCTCGCCATTAATAAAGAGCAACGGATATGTCCTGATGCTATGTTATTACTTACTTCCAAGTTTCTTAGTACTATCTTGAGAATCCATAACACCGGAATTGTGCACTGCTACATTGTATGTCATCTATTCGTATATTTAGTCAATTTTATCAGTGACATTATCTAAATTATAACTGGTCGTTTTGCACGTTTAAGGCATACAATATTCCGTTTGAATGAATTTATATAAGGCTCTGTGAATACACAAAATAAGAACATAGTATTCATATTTGTTATTTTTTTTAGCAAAATAATAAATTTACATCAGTTCTTCATTAAACAACTCATCGATGGCAAGCTCTCCTGACTGCTTATCTTTGAGATACTTTTGAAAGCCAGTGGTTTGTTTAAATTTGTTGATTAGTCGTTCGATCTGTTTGGATGTCAACTGATAAACATTCTTTGGATCTCTACTCATAGACTACAAGATAGAAAGAATTATATCTCGAATTAACGCACTCACTTCGAAATCATCCTCAGGATACATCTCTAAGTTGTATATGCAAAACAACTGATCATCTCCAGAGACAAACACAGGTTTTTGCTTTTTATGTTTGGCTAACTCTTCTAAAACTATAATCGAGTAGTGTAGAACATATTGAATAAACAACGAATAATCTCGCCTTTTACGACATTAGTCTTTTTCTGTCTCGGCATATTTTTTGTGACTGCATCATTATCATCATACTCTCCATTTGTTAAAACCTGTAGTTAACAAAAACAGAACTAGTTAGATAATTCTGACAAGACTACCTGATCACAATTATTTCCAAGTGCTTCATTTGCATCGTAAGCTAAACCCAAACGGTTAAAATTTGATTTAACAGATAATCCATACTTCCAAGCTGAATTAATGACTGGACTGATATGAAACATTAATCATTAAATAAAAATTAATTTATAGAGATAGTTTGTATCCAATAAATGGAAATTAAACACAAATTTAAAGAGCAAGAGTACGTAAACTTAGTGCAATATCATGACTGCATCAAATGCCTAACCGCCTATAGTTAGAAGATCAGTCATCGTACTTCAACAACTACTTTATTAGTGCATAAAGAAATTCAAGACATTCAAACCATTGACATTATGCAGCTTAAACACTAGGTCAGCTGAGTTCATATTGAACTGAGATCATCTCAATGATCAGATGTCAACAGTTCAAAGAACAGGAAAAGTTAAAGATAGGAATAAGTGTCGTCAAATGTAACCAATACAAGACGACTATAGTTACATGTTTAAAATGTGAAATAACAGCTGGCCACAGTTAAAAAATTTCGCAAGGATTAATACTGGCTAAGGAAGATAAATGACAGCAACATTATTGAATGTGAATGGTATAATTATTTTACAAAAAATATTTTTGAAGACCAAGGAAGATACAAACGTAACGAGGGTATCAAATGAATTTGGTGCTTACACTTAACTGATATATAACCAAGCTCTGGTACTAAATAGAAAGAAATTACAAGTGTAAAATGAGCTAAGACCCTTCACTTAAAATGACTTACTTTTTGATTTTTAATTTTGCCCTTTGTTTTTTGCCTAATCGCTTCCGATTTCGAGAATAACTGAAAGTGTGCTTTTTTCCCATCTGCAAAGAAGGGGGAAGTAAAAGTGGTCTGAAACGTTTAAAATAAACACAAATATTAAACAACAAAGATATAAAAAGCTTAAGGTAACACACCTTCCGAACGTTTTGTTTATGTCAGTATTCTAAATAACCCTGAATCTTCGGATTTTCTGTCAATATGAAATATACGAAAGTATGTAACGAGATTTCTCCAGGAATTACATACGTTGATAATTTCCAGTTCATGCTCTGAACAATCAACCCAGTAACCAAGTAAAGCTTTGTAAACTCGTATATATATATATATATATATATATATATATATATATATATATATATATATATATTCGGTGCCCTCTTGTACCAATGTGTTCAAATAAATAAACTGTCCAAACCAAACTCCTCAGGTACCCTTTAAAAACTAAAACCCGGTAGTGGAAATCAAATCCTTCGACGATAAGGAGTGATAATAAAAATGTGACTTCTTTTCAAAGTACAGGCTTAAGTACTTATCTTGAATAATGACCAGTTGGAACCTTAGACTTACCAGTTGATACCGAATGCCACTGTCTTATATGACAATTGTCATGGTAGTTTAAACCACTCCGGGTTTTATAGGTTCTTTAATCACTAGGTATGGTAGCCTAAGTAGAAAGGACAAGAAGTTGAAAGTTGCTTTGTCTTCTTCTTTGAAACACACTGAGGCAGATTGTAGACAAATTTGTAACAACCTACGTTTCTGTTAAAACATCACTTTGGATTATGTCCTAATAGTTTGGGAAGAAGCAAAAGATATGTATGTCCTCGCCTCGTCGGAAAACGGTTGTCTTCCAGGGGAATTAAGGTGAAAAGTCTAGTTAGATAACTATTATTTCGGTATATCCGGAAAGCGCTGTCCAACGGAACGGTTGACAATTTACTTAAGCACACTGAGTAGACACTCCAAAAGAAACTTTGTTGAGAGCCCATCTGATAGATCTATTGAAAAGGACGTCAGACATCAACATAACTATACTTGAAAAACATCACTACGAGTCATTTGCACTTTGTCGCAAACAGGGTTTAGAATCCAGTCAATATTCCCAAGCTCCCAACGTTTGGGGAAATTCCCCAAAGTTTACCATAGCGGCTTCCCCAAAATGGGTCAAATTTTCCCCGAAATTGGGTTACATTAAACCTGGTCACAAAAACATTCGTAAAATGATTGCTAGGTTGTACGATGAGAATAATGTTCAGTGTTGTCGAAAATACACAGACTACTGCACATGACATACAAAAGAAACTAAGCTATCCACAGATACTGACCTACAGGTTGGGATTCGAATTTTTCTGTGGGCCTTCGAAGTTCAATATTTACGACAGTTTTATGAAAAGATTTTAGTACTTCCGAGAGATTGAGAATGGAACCGGTTAAGAATCTCTCATTTTTAAAGGTGAAAGATCACTTATCTCCCGTGTTGTGGTCTAGGTATGTGGAAACGATCACTTTCAGTTCGGAAAGGACGGGAGGCTTGGTGGCCTGTGTTAGTCCTGGCAATGATGATCTCCCAGTTGATCCAACTTTCTTTTGAAGGAGTTGACGGATACGGCTTCAATCACGTGTTGAGGTAATAAATTCTACCCGCTGATGGTTCAATGATTAGATTGATAGTCAAGTAATTTGTTCTGCGCTTGTGAACATTTTTGGAGTGTCTTCGTAAATTTTCTGTTTTGGAAGACAAAAAATAAGGACATATCAGATGCATATTTATCACCATGTGGTTTTAAAACTGTAATTAAGTCACTTCTAGTTCTTCAATATGACACAGGAATAGGCTTGGCTTTGCCAGTCGGGCATCATACAAGAGCTTTGCCATACCGGAAATTAGTTTAGTTACAGTCCTTTGGAATTTCTCCGGAAGCTCTCTGTCTCTTTTTAGATAGGGGATAGCCGCTTGTATGCAGTACTCGAGTTTAGGATGCACGGATACTTTATACAAAAAGGATTGATAATCAACATGGCTATAGGCCCTAGGTGTTGACACCAGGGTTCTGAAACCTTTGGAGGTTGTCTCACGTCAATGTACAGTAATTTTTAGTCTTGGCTAACGATGAATCCTAAGTCATTGTGTGTCTGAACAGCAGGCAACTCACTGTTATTCACCGTGTATGTATCTTTACATTGGTGACCAATATGCATCGCAATGCACTTGGAAGCATTTGTATGCAACTGCCAAATTTTAGAATACTCAGACAATTTCTTCAAGTCATTTTGAAGCTCTAAATTATCACCTTTGCTTCGTTTATCACTCTCCACATCATGACACTGCCAGTATACAACAAGAGCGATAATGATGGGAGAGGAGGAAGGTCATTTACATACAAGTGGAATAACGCTAGCCCCAAAACTGTACCCTAAGGTACTTCGCTAAGCACAATTTCCCGGCTAAACAACTTTGAGTTCACCCGTACTCCTTGTTAGCGCCCAACTAGGAAGTCTTCTATCCACATTGATAGATAGACTCCAACCCCTACGTTTCTTAACCTATATAACACTCCGTTGTGGTGAATTTTATTGAAAGCTTTGCTGAAGTCAATGTAGGCCACATCTATAAGTAAGCAAGAGCGTACAGGCTTTCACGAGCCACTAATAAGCTTATGAGGCAGGAATAACCTATTCTACAGCCATGATGCTCCTCCAAAGGGATCCGGCTTTCATTGAGATACTTAAACAGATCCTTCCGAATAATTATTTCGGAAATTTTAACAACCCCACTGATTAGGATATCTGATTGATAGTTCTCAGGTTTATGTTTCATGCCTGTTTTAAAGACAGGACTTACTATGGCGTTCCTCCAGTCTCTTGATAGTCGACCCTGGGTTACGGAGAGATTAAAACTTAAAGTTCAGGGGTCCGTAACAAAGTTAGCTAGTTCCTTTAGTAACTTGGGACGTAGTTCATTGAATCCCTTGAATTCGCCTGTATCAAGCTCGTTTGGCAAACCAAGGACATCGAGTTCTTTAATAGTCACGTTGTCCGGTGGGTGTGTGGATTTGTGTAGACTGATAGGAAGGGTGTTTACACGGTATATGCATTGCTAAAGTAGCTTCAGAATACTTGAGTTTTACCATCGTCTTTCTCTACTGTTGATAGAGTCAATCGGTACACCTAGTTCCGAACGTTAGTTGAGAAAGCTTTGAGCATTTGTGTAACAGATCCGAAGCTCATTTAAATGGCAGAAACGTGGAATTTTTGGTTAATAAATGAGATTTAAATTCATAGACACTGTATTGAGACCTTAAGAAAATGCCAGTTGTTTTAGGAAATGTGTGTGAAAGATTTGATCTTTTCCAGAGTTCCTCTATCCGTTGTGGTCGCGTTGGTTCACACACTGTTGTATTTCGGGATCTTCCTTATCCCCATGTGTATACTGAGGTCTGTCGATGCAGAGGCTGATGCTACACTGTTTGTCTTGACCTGTATTTATTGATGTGTATGGGATAGATGAGCCAGGTCATCTGCGAAGTCCAAATCGTCTAGTTGCATCCAACCTGTTCATTTCATTCCATGTCGTCTCTCAGATGTGGTCATCATAAACCATTCAACCACCGGAAGAAAGAGAAAAGGGGAAGCAGGCAGCCTTATCTCATTCCGGTCCTGTCTTGGAATGTATCTGTCAGTCGTCCTCCATGCACCACTTTGCACTGTAGTTCGTCGAATGAATTCCGGATGATGTTGACAATTTTCTCAGGCACTCCGTAGTGCCGAAGAACTTTCCACAATATCCTCCCATCCACACTGTCAAGTGGTTTCTCGTAATCAAGGAACTTGACATATAGTGACAAGTTCCATTCAATTGATTGTTTAACGATGATCATTAGTGTTGCGATTTTGTCCGTGCACGACCGATCCTTACGGAATCCGGTCCGTTGATCTCAAAGTTAAGTGTCTAGTGAGCCGTTCATACTCTGTTAAAAACCTTTTTTGGTACTAACAGCAGTGTGATACGTCTGTAATTCTCTCATTTGCCCAGATTTCCTTTCCGTGATGTCTTGATGAGGTATCCTTCTTCACAGTTCATCGGCACTTGTTCGTCTTCCCAAATCTTCCCGAATAGAATGTTGAGCATGTTTGCAGTTACTTGAATGTCTGACTTTAGTGCATCAGCTGTTATATTGGCAGGTCCTGCTGCTTTCCCACTCTTGATTTGTCTGATGGCCATCTTGATTTCTTCGATCACTGGTGGAGTGACATCTATAGAGAGGTCTGTGTGCTGCCTCGATGTCGGGTGGATTCAGTGGAGCTGGCCTATTTACGAGTTCCTCGAAGTGTCCTACCCGTCCGTTCCTTCGTTTTATATCCCAGTGAAATTAAATTACGGGCAGCTTCTGAGAACTGTTAATGGGCAAATATTATATATATTCTTATTGTATAAGTATTCAGCTACTAAAATATGTATATTTATATTCTACTTATTATGAGCTGTATTTTGACCTAAAGATTATAATTACACGATCTACCATTCATAAATTAAACTTATTTTGTTGATTAGAGTCTCCCATAATCACAGACACCTTTCGGCTTGATCTCTTACAAATATCATTTCCTATTTTGTCGTGTGATGTGGTCATTTTCGCTTGTATATAGACCAGGTATGTTTGAAATAATTGATTCGTATTATGGAAGTCTGTGTTGGAGTCTTGGACTAAACTGGCAGGGATAGGAGGAAAAAGCACCAACAAAGACCCTAGACTGCTTATACCGGTCGAACGTCGTTGGTTTGGCACAGTATTAAGTTTGTATGTGTTGTATTTCGATTGGCGAATACGTCACGTGATAACTAACCGGCATTAAACTCACAACAAACTGGCGATGGAGATTTTACGGATAAAATACATAACAAATATAAATCTACATTTTACGTCCTCATTGTTATTGAAGTAATTCGCTAACAGAGTATATATGAAGTTAATTAAGGAACTATGTACCATCATACCTCATCAAAATCAAATGGAATAGATAACAGACATTAAATCGGTGAGTACAACTATGATAAATCTATTCATTCATGTTTCACCTAAAAATGCTGATTATTTCTTCATTTAATATTGAACGAGTACACACAAAGATTTGCAAATCTCTCCCTAATTTCGTTTCCTTCTTCCAGGCCATGTCGTCGCACCGTTGTTGTCCATTCCGACTTTGGCATCTAGGTTTCCCATTAGCATTGTCAGGTTCTTTCCTCGGCAGTTCACTGTATTTGATTTCAACCTCTCATCGTTGTCACTGCTATCATCTAGTTTCAGGAACCCAGTTTTTATTTTTGGTCATATTTGCATTTAGAAATTTGGTTATTATTAAGTACTCACCTATTTTTAAAGCTTTTCTGGGATTTCACGGGTTTTCTTTCATTAACACAGTAACCGTTGTGACTTTATAGCCCGCTAGTTATCATGTTGTCTATTCGCCAATCAAAATACGACTTATTAGCTTTTATACTGCACTTAACCAATGTCATCCGGCCGGTCCGATCACTCTAGCGTCCTATTGGTCAGTTGTTCGCCCAGCCCGTCTAGCTGAGTCCAGAATACCAACAACAGCCTCCACTATGTGAATCGAATCGAATCATTTATTTCAGACATACTGGATTTATATATCAGCCAAACAGACCTCAGCGCACCATAAAATAGGAAATAACATTTGTACACAGTAAAGCCAAAAATTGGTTGCGAACGTGGGAGGCAGTAGTCAATAAACTGAACATAGCTTAAGAACAGTAAATCGTACAATAATAAATTATAAGTCCGAATAAATCTTGTAACAAGGGGAATATAGATATACCTAATCCAGTCACTGAATATTTATACTGTGAGAGTATATAAATAATATTAGCCCATTATTAGGTCTCAGACTTTACACGTAATGTAATCTTCACTAGGATATAACAATAACATTCTATGTTTATATTCATTCCTAGGCTTTTGTTTGTGTCTTTATATGCTGACGTGAAGGAAAAACTTTCTTTTTCCTTATTTTGAACTACGAGATCTGGGTTTTTTCTGAGTGACTTTGAGAAAAAACCAAGACCTAGGTTAATTCGAAAAACTCTTAGGCCTGAGTAATTTATGAGAAAAGTTCTAGTTTCGCCACCAAAAACAGTTAGCTCACTTTACAGTGCACTTCATAAATTTATACGCATATGTAACCTGGAGTTTTAGGAACATGGATTAACATCTCTAATAATTATCACTTTGTTTTAATGTATCTTTGGTGCATTAGGCTAAGGTGCCATTATTTCACACCAATTTTACTATCTGGCTATTCAGGTTCCATTCTAAAGTTTTGCGTAGACAGGGCTTGAAGGAATATAAAAAT